GAGATAAGAAACCTTTTCCTAGTATTTATGAATAACAAAAAATTTGAGAACTAGGAGAAAAATAAGAACTGAAGCTTCCAGAGAATCCAGGAACAGAAAAAGTAAAAAGACCTGGGAATTCTAGTGGGTACTTTTGATGCTCCCAGCACTATTTCATCTATTAGCAACTGATTCAGTAAAGACATCACTTCAGAGAAGCTTTTGTAGTCTTATGCCTTTCCTGACGTTGTCTCTTCATCAAGCCACTTATCTCTTATTAGCCAAGTAAATGTAATGAAAATATAGAGGTTATACTTTGATAGTATGTAAGTTGTTCTTAACCTAAAAGTTTCCTGAATAATCTTACGGAAATTTTGAGGCATCATTAATGACAGAAACATATGACCAAGCTCTTTCACTCTTTTTCACCTCTTCTTTATAATCTCTATAAATACAAAAATTTTTCAGTCTCTAGATCATCCACTGATAACATTTATTTCTGATTTTTCTATTCTGAATGTATTTCCCAATTTCTAAGAAAAGAAGAAGTTCTAAATTCCCACACACCTTTGATTTCAATGCACATATTGGGAAGAGAAAACAAGAAGTGGAAGGAAGAGGAAAGAGCAGAAAGAAATTTTTGAAGTCATTCAATTTAAATGCTAAAAGTTTTTTTTTTTTCCTTGACATCATTTTCTGAGGTTTACTTTTCACTACTGCAGTTGATTTTTAGTTGCAGTCACAAATCAGTGTAGGAGTTCCAGACGTTGTTAAAGGCTGTATGTACTTTAGACATCTTTTACATAATGCAAGCCATTTGCATAATAATCAAGTCAGGCTTATGTACCTGTTCAAGGCAGAGATACTCTGTTTTACTTGTTAGCATTGATGCTTGAAAATTTAAATTGACTTAATGCACTTCATTTATAGGGACCATGTCATTTAGCTGTACTCTGTAGTCTCTGTCTGAAACTAATTTAGTGGTTAAGATACATAAATCTATTCATATATGTAAGATTCCATTACAGTCAGTAAAGTCTATATCACAAAATAGGTGGTTTTTCCATTGAATTTAGTCTATCTACATTATGTCCAAGTCTTTAGTGATTCTAATGGGAATACAGACACTCAGCTGACACAGACCATTAAAGCTCAGTGCTTTAATCTTCCATTAATTTCACACACACACAATTTTTTTTAAGTGGGGCACCATCTTTTTAGAGAATGCCCTACATTTCCCTCAACAGAGAGATGATTGCAAGAGCAGCTCAAAGGAAATCAAGCACTCACCAGTCAGCATGAACTGATAGGCGTTGTCAGAGATGGAGAAGATGTGTGGAGGGGCCTCCTGGCGCTTCTTGCCTCGGTAGGCCAACACCACCTCCGGGTTGTACACGGGCAGCCACTTGTAGGGGTTGACAGTGACGCAGAAGAGACCCGAGTAGGTCTGCGAGGAAGGGACACAGCACATTGGCTTCCCCTGGGCCTGGCAGAGCAGTTCCTCCAGCTGCCCAAGGGAAGCTGCTGCTGCCACTTACGTAGATCATCCAGGCTGCGTAACGCTCTTTGAGGTTGTACAGCACAGCGGGTTCGTGGAGGTGGGTCATCATGGCCATGTCCTCGATTTTGTCGTACTTGGGAGGGTTCATGGAGAAGACTTGATCTTCCTTCACAGTCAGGGTCTGCCAAGGAAACAAAAGATCCACGTATGTCAACTGAAAACTCAGAATATGAATCAAATGTTGTCCTTCAGGCTTGTTTTTCACTCACCTCTCCCCCTTCAGTCTTGACAGTGACTTTCCCTGATTCCCTGCTCTGAATTGTCCCTTTCACAAAGGATTCCTTTGCATGTACCACAAAGACAGATGTCTTGGCATCAAAAGGCTTGTTCTGGGCTGCAATTCTCTCCTTTTCTGACTTTCGCAGGTAAGGAGCTGCCTCCCCAAAAACAGCCATCTCAGCATCTCCAGAGGCCATGCCTGCACTCTATTGAAAACTTGTCAGCAGAGACGTCTGGGGGGAGAAAAAGAGTTGTAGATCACTCAGAAAAATGATATAATCTAGATCAGTGAGAAAGCTCCTTGCTCTTTAGCTAATAAATTGCTAACTAATCTCCAAGGTAAGCTCTTAAAAAGAAACCAATTAAATGCACTTCGACTTGAAGTTAAAAATATCTTAGTCTGACCCTAGAATAAGATTTAGTCTTCTACAACATGTAAGTCTTATAACAATAAATAGAACATCTTCTGAATATTGAGAGCGGTTTGGTAACTCACCTTGATGAATTCTGACCAGATTAAAGTTTTCCACATAAAAGAATCTACAGCCAGAGAAAATCCCTCTCTGATCTGGTCCTTAATTAGAGTCTTCAGGAGAGTACTTTCTTGCTAAAAGAATTATCTTTTGTGTTAAAAATGAAAAATTACTTCACTTTTTAGTTCCCCCCTATTTTCAATTATCTAGCCTAAGCAAATTCAGCAGAAATATAATAGGATTTATGAAGAGAACTCGTGCAGCTGTTTAAAAGCCCTGTCCTGTAGATTAGGAATGGATTACTCAGTGTGTTACCTTTGGAGAAGTCCTGGAATCTGGCCAACCCTGTAAAACAGGAATGGCGGTTGTTTCTTATTGCTGAACAGAATTCTACAACAGAATAATTGTAGATTGAAAATACAGACATGCACTGAAATTACACTGAAAATTTTTGTTCACATGGGCACTCCCTCATGGAAATGGTTGCCAGAGGGAGGGGAAATGGAACAGAATTTTTTAAGGATATTTTCCTCTTTCTTCAAGCTCACAAAATGCATGCACTTACCTTGAAGCCCTCTGTGGAGACAGGCTAGACGTGTCTCTGGAGATTTTATAGCGTCTTGTCTGCAGATGCTCTAGATGGTCCCCCTTTTTTCGGTCAAAACATTTCTGGCAACCCTTTTTTGGCAAAGCATTGTCTGGCAAACTAAGGGCATAATTGTGCCTTGATTTGAATGATATAATTAGAACATTTTTATATCTTACTGACTACGTGAATACGTCTATAAATAATTTGTCAAGAGTGTTAAGGAGAGAATCTGGACTACTCACGGCACTTAGAGAACTTGCATGGTTCTATTGCTGCCTTTCTCTGTGATTTGCTCCTTGACCTGTGGTAGCTTCCTTGGTATGTTTTTCAGTCATGTAATGGTGATGAGAACATCTGTGATGCTTTAGAAACACATGCATTGAGAGGAACAGGGAAAGTATGTCAAAACCCAGCAAATAAATGGTGTTAGGAGGCACTTTTCAGTGGTATTTTCTAAAAAGCAGGAAGTAAAAATGTATTAGCTGGAAGGGTTTGAAATAAAGTGAGTTGGAAGTCTGAATCCAAGTAATGGGAGACCCTACTTTGAAATGGAGCTCTTCAATAGATTCCTTAGCTGACTTCTGAGGAATCAAATGTTGCAAAGGAGTGGTTAGGATTGCTTATAGAATCATCAACAAAGATGGCTTAAAGGATTACCATCAAAGGCATTAGTAAAAGGGAGTTCAATATAAATTTGCAAAAGCACAGCAAAGTTTGATGGCAAGGTTTGCTCTATTACTTCCTACAAAGATCAAGGGAAATCATCTAAAAATCACTTTCAAATGATTTACACAACAACTGGAAATGCAAAGGATAAAGGTAAAACGGTAAGAAAGATCCTTCAAGTGAGTCATGAGGCTCACAAAGGGCTCCCTTACTTTCTAAACTTCTGATGGAATCCAGGTGCAGCTGAATCCAATCTTAATACCAGACCTGGTCAACGGTTTATGTCTAGAGGGTTTTAGCAGCACTTACTCGTTGAGTAATTTAACATTTATAAAGTGATTCAATAGGATTTACTACAATTACAACAGTGACTTCGTTATAAATCCCAGATGGCAACATTCAAACTACACTTGCAGGAAGGTTGACCTTGAGGAGTGGAGGATATCGGTCCAGGCCAGTGGTATGACCCACTCCAGAAGGGGAGGGTAACCCAGGTTCTTGTTAATAAATCCCTTGGGGTGGATTAGAGTGAAATAACACTGAATAATCGGTGTTTGTAAACATATATATGTAGGGTTTATTTTAGAACCATTTTGTTTCAAAAGTAAATAGCTATTTTGCTGTTCTGGGTGTTATCTATAGCAATAATTTATAGCAATATTGCAACATTAGAGCATAGCAATATAGCACTCTTAAAGCAGAAAGATAACACTTAAGGAAATGCATAAGGGAAAGAAAGGGAAAGAAAGCATAAAGGTGGAAAGATATACATAGTCACCACCCACTGGATCCAGCAGTGAAACTTGGTAGTTGCAGCTTCGATGTCTGTTGGTCGAAGTGGTGGTCTTGATCTGTTGGGGGTGGAGGAAGCCCCCCCAAAACTCAAAGATGTTATGAGTTATTATACACTTCTAGCTCAGGTGGGAAGACCTTGTATGTCCCCGGGGTGGGGACTTTTGCAATGGATGGTGCCATGGGACGTGTCACTGAGTCTCTGACATCTCCTAAGAGAGCTGCAGCTGCCCACTGTGTCAGCATCAGTCATGGTCCATTGTGGTCCAACATTTGAGATGCATAGCCCAGGCTGGATGTGCAGTTATCATGTAAAGGGAGGACACTGGCATGAAAAAAGGTTCTCCCACCTTACAGGATTTGCCTATTCTTAGCCTCTTCTCTTATCTGGAAATACAGTTTGCAGCCTCAGGCAGGCATCTGCACCCCGGATAGCTGGACAATGGCATCCACTTATCTAATCTAAAGGTCCCTTGGCAGTATTCAGGGAGAAGTGGGCTTTGCTGGGTGAGAAGCTGCTTCTTTTCAGTTTGCAAAAGTCTTTTGGTAATCTTAGAATGTATAAGTCATTAACTGTTTCAGTCTCTAACAGCCGTGTCATCAGCTTTCGTGAATTTTTTGAAAATCAGGCCTCCAATTTTCACAAACTTGAGAGTTTGTGAGCTCTGAGAGGCCCCAGTCAGAGGGAGTTGCTGCAGTTCAGGAGAGCCCAAAGGGCCTCACTTAGGACCACTGTGACCACTGTTTAAAGGGCTTCAAGATGTTTGGGTTTAGTCATCCATAAATTTCCATCCTGACCACAATCCAGGTCAGGAATTACTGGAGCTTCCAAAACTCTAGTAACAATTCTACTGGAGTTACCAAAACTCCAGCAACAATGGTACCATTCCACTTGGGCTACAATTCAGGTAGGGAAAGTTCCAAGGCTTTAAGCAGGTGATTGATTATTCCCTCTCTCATCCTTCACCTTAGCCAGGCAACAGGAATTCCTGATATGGACAGTAGTGCTCCCACCTTTGCCATGTAAGGCTTCTTGATAGAGTCAAGGGACACTCAGTACACAAACATCAAGGCTTTATGGGAATCCCTGAGATTGTAGATCAGCCCTGAGGAGGAAGGGAGTATGCACTACCACATCAAAACAAAACATATACTTGTATGTGCATAGATAATATATGTATTTATGCAAATTTCATTTAAAAAGTGATTCCTCAAGAAACTTTGCTCTCTCTCACTGTTGACTGTCTTTCATTTTTTACTTGAAATTGATGCTTGCTTGCTCCCTTTATTGTCTGCATAAATAATGAGTTTCCTCAGTCAAATATGAAGTTCCAGTAGTTCCCATATCCCCTCTCTACCTGCAACTCCCCCAAAACCAGCATGCCTTTCCCTGCCATGCTCGTGCGCACAATCACACTCATCACCTCAACATACAGATCCAGCTACTATACATTCTGATAAATCCTCAGTCTTGCAGTGCCGTGCCATCAAAATAAGTGTATTTACACATTCACAGTCCCAGAAACACCCAACAACACAGGACTATCTGTACCAGAGCAGTAGAGGCAGTAGGAAGTTGCAGGAATTCTTGTGTAATGTTGATGGTGTGGGATAAAGAGAGTTGCTCATAGTGCAAGCAACTAACTGATCTAGTACTGATCTAGTTCTAGGAAAGGGTGTAATCACAGAATCATAGAATCAAAGAACTGTTTAGGTTGGAAAAGGGCAGTCCAACCATTAGTCCAGCATGGCCAAGTCCACCCTGAACCTTGTCCCCAAGTGCCACATCCACACTTGATCTACACTAATCACTTAAACTTCTTCAGATTCTCCAGGTCTAAACACACTTGTCTTCTGGTCATTTGCATTTCAATCATTAAAATATCTCAGTGAATATCACAGCAAAGAGGGCAGAAAACCAGTGTCAGTGATCCAGTGCAATATACAGCATCAAGTGATTTCCTGTGCTGTAGGAGACTTTTCCAAGGGTGCTCTGGCACATTTTGGGCCCCAGATTGGAAACCAAACCCAGAGCTCAGCCCTGAGAACACCACACAAGTTATGGGGACAGTTGAATATCTCAGAAGGTTCATCTTTTCACATGGATTAGAAAGAAGAGTTGCCCATTACCAGACGACTGATGTGGAAATTTTGAATTCTTGTCTAGTTAATACAGTAATGTGGAGAGCATGTAGCATCTGATTTATCATGTAACCTTCACAAAATAATTCTTCATACAGGAATAGGGACCTGCCAAATTGCTCTGTATCTTCAGCTGCCACTCACAGATCCTTGGAGAAAGACAAGTCACTCAGGAACATATACTGACCATAGCCTTATCTTCCTTTTTTGGCTGAACAGTAGCCCCCTACCAAACAGGCTGCACTCAAGAGAGGTGGAAATTATGGAGCTGAATTCCTTTCTTGCCATGTCCAGTACTGAAGTCTTGTGTAAAAATTTCTCCATGCTCATGCTGTTCAGGGAATTCAGGTTCCTCAAGTTTGCTGCTTCAGGCCCTTCACCAAGTGGCTCCTCCTTTCTTAGCAGCTAAGCTGTCAGGACAGAAATAACACTTGCAAATAAAAAGGGCTACTAGACTGCTAAAGCAACTAATGTAACACACAGAGGAGCCTCCAACTACTCCACACAGAATAGGCAAATTATATTTTGGGTTCTAGTACTCACTGTCAGTGAGTGCTGCATGAAACCACTAATTAGGGTGTAAAAGAAAAGCAGTGTTGACTTACCTGGTTCGAATACAGCTGTGGACATAGATGAAAATAAAGCTGTTTAAGAATTGATCTATGACAATACACATAATACAGCATCCTTTGAAGGGTTAAAATAACCCCAAAAATTCAATATGATTGTGTAGAAATTAGGAATCAAAGGACAGCAGTTCAGTTTTAGTAGACTAAAGACCACTTAATGATACCATTAAAAATTACCCAGGCAAAAGCCTGCCAATTATCAGAAAAGAACTGATAAAAGGTAGCAGTCGCTTCATCATAGAAGCCAAACAGGTTGATCAAACATGATTACTTTTCCTGATAAATACCAAGAGGACACATTGTCTTTCAAATAACTAAAGTGCAACTGAGCAGCTTACAGCTTCCCTGGTACAGGTTCCTGCCTTTTTTAAAGGTGGGTGTAACAACAGCCTTTTCCCCCTCATCTGGGACCTTCCCTGGGAGTCATCATTTTTCACCAATGGTAAACATAAGCCTTGCAGTTATGTGGGTGAATTCCTTCAGCAACCTTTGATGAGTCACAACCCAGCCCCATGGATGTGAATACATTCAGTTTCTCTTAGAAAGTTCAGCTTCACTAAGAAGCAAGGTCAGGACTTCCCCACTTTGATTGTCCCTTTCTTTCTCAAACTCTATTGGAAGATGCTGACATTGAGGGACAAATTTTGCCAATGAAGACTGACACAGAAAAGGTTCTGCATACAAGTGCCTTTTGAATCATCTCTCACTAGGTGGTCACCCATATTCAGCATCAAACACACATTTTCTCTGAACTCCCTTCTGCATCATCCATGCAGAACTGTTATGCTCAATGTTTGAAGTACTCAAGCGATGTTTTATAGTCCTTATTTTGGTGCCAGTCCTTGCCTCCACCTCTTACATACTTTTGTGTTTTAATTCATCAAGAAGTTTGCTTAGCTAAGATCCAATTCCCAATCCTCCTGCAGAACAAGATAGTTTGTTCCTGTGCTCTTCATAATTTTCCTTTAAACTCTAACCTCCTCTCCTGGCATTCTCTTTCACAGCTGCTGCCATGTGTGTGCTAACTGGCAGTTCCCTGAATGCAATGAATTCCAGTCTTACGAAGTCTAGAGTGCTAATTCTGTTGCTTATCTTCCCAGCTTTCCACTAGATCCTTCATCCAGTCATCATGTGTTTGCTGCAGCCTAAGCTGCCATCTGGGATCATATTTATCACTAGTTCATCCTTACTTCCAGCACTCAGCATTGCCTGGCCAGTATTTACATTGGGATGTTGACATTAGCGCTGCCTAAGAATTTCTGGCACAACTTGCCTGGTGCTGTTGCCCTCACAGCAGATGTCCACATGGCTGAAAACCTCTCTAAGGCAGAGGAGACTTGTGACTTTCTACTAGTTGTAGAAATCCTCCTCCACTGCTTTGTCTTGGTCAGGTGGTCCATGACAGACCCCATCACAACATCCCTCATTTTCCTCCTATCTCTGACAGAATGTTCTGCAGCCTCACATGGAGCATTGCACAAGCAAGGAGCACTTTGACATAAAGCATAAATCCTTCTCATTTCCCCTGCCTATTCCTCCTAAACAGTCCCATGACCATGTTCCAGTAGTGCACATTATCTCCATAATTCTGCTCATGTTCCCCTTCTTCCTTGTAGAATTCCTACATTTGCAGCTATTCCTCTCTCGCTTCTGGGATTTTGTGCTTTTCCCATAACAAAACTGATTTCAGACCCTTGTCATCAGGTTAGTAGTCTCATTGCAAAGATTTCTTTCCTTCTTAGTCCTCAAATACAGATGTCCAAAAATCTAGGGGAACTTATAGAACTTATAGTTTCCAAACATAGTGTGGAAACTCCTACTTAAAAATCCATCTAGATATCACAGGACTGCCCAGTGAGTAATGCAATGCCATGGTATTGAAAGGGCTTATGGAGAAATCCAGGGAGGGATTCTGCCCCTCTGCCCCATCAGGTGCCACAGGGAGGACATGGAGCTGCTGGAGAGAGTCCAGAGAAGGCACCAAGAGGATCAGAGGAATGGAGCAGCTCTGCTGAGAGGAAAGGATGGGAGAATTGGGATTGTTCAGTCTGGAGAAGAGAAGCTTTGGGGTGACTTGATTGTGGCCTTCCAGGACCTGAAGGGAATCTGCAAGAAGGATGGAGAGAGACTATTTACAAGGGAGTGGCAGGACAAGGGGCTTCGTACTGACAGAGAGTAGGTTTAGATTAGATATTGGGAAGAAATTCTTCCCTGTGAGGGTGAGGAGGCCCTGGCACAGGTTGCCCAGAGAAGCTGTGGCTGCCCCATCCCTGGAAGTGTTCAAGGTCAGGTTGGATGGGGCTTGGAGCAACCTGGGACAGTGGGAGGTGTCTCTGCCCATGGTAGGGGGAGATGGAATGAAATGATCTTTAAGGTCCCTTCCAACCCAAACCATTCTATGATTCTATGATTCTTTGAAATCAGTAGAAATTATAACATAGAACAAAATTAATGGATACAGGGAAAAGTGACAGTCTTTCACATGTATTCAAAAGGGGAAGTCTCACTTCACAAACCTGTTTTCTCCTTTGAAGGCCAGATAAAGTACATAGATTTAACTATCAAGACTACACTTCTAATGCTAAATAAGTCTGTTCCTGAGTGTGATCTCTGGTATCAGGTGAAATGGTGTGAGTCGCTTTGCAGTCAGCCCTTGGTGCTCCTGGCCACCAGAACAGCATCAGCATCAGCACTGCACAACCCTTGGCTTGGGGCCCTGCTCTTTAGAAAAGCCTACTTTCTCTTTCACTCCAAATAAACAATGTCATGGAGGGAAAAAACTGCAGCACTGGCATCTATGTGCACATTGTTCACACAAATGGAACATCAGCTGTCAGAGCAGCTTTCAAAGGGAAAACCCCTCACCCTCTGCACTAGACCCAGAGGGGTCAGAAACTGAGAAAGAAACTGTGAGAAAATGGATAGAAAAGGACTGGAAGCCCAACATGGGAAGGCTGGGGAACTTCAAGGAGAAAACAAAAACTAAACTTTCACCCTTTTCCTCTAGATGGTGTTTCTGGAAGATAAATATATTAATTCATATTTGTGGGCAAACTAACTTGAAGAATTTTATTCCATAGATTTAAAATTCTTGATCATATGGACACTCAGATAAGGATCTTGTAAAAAGCTCTGGGGTGCACACCAACTTTGGATTTGTTTTAATTCACAGAGATTATTAGTCCCACTAAAGTGATAAATTGCTGTCACATGGCCTATTGGGCATTCCAGGCTCTTGCAGAGGAATACTCTCTAATTTGAATTACCAGATCCAGACTCCATGAAGATTTAGCTCCACAGTTCTCACAGTTCCATGAGCTAGGCCATAGAAAACCAGCCAACTTCCTCTCTCCAACCATGGGGCAGCCAAGATGACACCTGTCCTTGGGAAGAGGGATCTGTTGAAAGCTGCAGCAATGTCCTCATGCAAAACAAAGAGAGAAATGAATCCTGCCAGCCACTGACATTCTGCCACTTCTGTTTCAGGGCCTGGAGTCTGGTAGAACTAGAAGCAAACCACAGCACAGCCAGAAGAGGCAGAATCAGAGAAATCCCTGGATAAAGATGGTCCTGCACAGACATAAGGTGTGGGCAAAGTGCTGATGTGATGACATCCAAGCATGCTGAAAACAGGTCCCATCCCACTTTCTGTAAGTCCCTACAATGTGATTTCCCTTTCGTTTTGTTCAGTGAGCATGAGCTGAGGAGTTCTGGGGAGAAAGAGGGGAACTCATGAACACTGGTGAAGTGTGAAAGTGGAGCACTATCAAAGCTTTTGAGTTTGTGGCCCCATGGAAATCTCACTCTCTGTTCTGCTTCTTAGAGCAGCCTTGTAACTTGCCTAGTTAGAAAGAAAGTCCAAGACCAGTATCTCCATGTCATTGGCACAGAACCAGCCACCTTCAGGCCTTCTGCTTAGGTCCTCCTTCCACCCTGGACCAAGCTGATCAGGACCTCCTGTCTAGTTGCAACACCAGAAAAAGAAGCATGAATGCAAGTCTCTATGCTCCTCTTCAGTCTCACTGATCTTCTTTTCTGCCCAGAGAGAAACAAATAAAGCAAACCCAGCTAGAACGTGCAAAGTTCAAGAAGGCATCTTCATATTTGTAGGCAAACTAACCTGAGGAATTTGCTTCCACAGATTTAAAAATCCTGGTCATGTGGACACTCAGACAGGTATATTGCAAAAATCTCTGGGCTGCACCTCAAATCCTGGGGGCAGTTCTGGGCCCCTCACTGCAAGAAATTCATTGAGGGGCTGGAGCGTGTCCAGGGAAGGGAATGGAGCTGGGAAGGTTCTGGCACACCAGAAGTGGTTGAAGGAACTGGGGGGCTCAGCCTGGAGAAAAGGAGGCTCAGGGGGGACCTTCTCACTCTCTGCAACTCCCTGACAGAGGGGGAAGCCGGGGGAGGGGCGGGGGTCAGGCTCTACTCCCAGGGAACAAGGGACAGGAGGAGAGGGAATGGCCTCAAGTTGTGCAAGGGGAAGTTTAGGTTGGATATCGGGGAAAATTTCTTCACCTGAAAGGGTTGTCCAGCCCTGGCACAGCTACCCAGGGCAGGGGTGGAGTTCCCATCCTAGAGGGATTAAAAGATGTGTAGGGACATGATTTAGTGGCAGACTTGGCAATGCTGGGGTAAAGGTTGAAGGGAATGATGTTAGACGTCTTTTCCAAACCATATGGAGACCTCACAACAGCTTCACATTTCTGAGAGCGCAGGCAGCAGGGAAGAAATTATTCAGTTGGAGGAGCAATTGTACTGATTTCTTTTCCTGCTTTTCTTTCTGCAGGCTCTTTCTCTTTAGGATGCTGAGATACCATCTCATTCACTTTTCCTATGTCTGCTAAACTGTTTGGCATTATGTCCAGAATAGTGAAGGGCAGTCACTGCCAAGTCCTTCCCCTGCTTATCACTTACATTTGCAGGAACGTTTCAGAAAAGGATGTGATTTCATCAAAGATTGCCTAAATTCACTTCTACTGGGAAATTAGTATTTAGTATCAGTGCCCTTATATTTTAGGGAAAGAAAAAAATTATTTAGTTCAGTGCCTTGATTCTGCCTTTAAAACATGTATGACAATGTGAGAACTAGCTATGGAAAATCACTTTCTGGTCTAATGTTTTTTCTTGCCAGACTCTGTAACTCATACAGAGTAGAGTAGTATCCCCCCAAAATAAATGGCAATATTTCAATTCCAGAATCAGGACATTAACATATAGGATTTTTTATGTAAAAAAAAACCCCAACACCATCACCCCAAAACAGCAGAGGCTGGGCTAGTGACAGACCCTTTCCTGGGAAATACAAAAATCATGTGGGTTAGAACTACACTTATGATTCTTCCAGAAAGTGCAATGATGTAGGAAGGAGTCTGAAGTTTCCTGACTTGCTCATGATTTCCCCACTGCCAAAAAAAGGATCGCAAATCCTTGCAGGGCTTTCTCTCAAGTGCTGTTGTTGGCCATGCTGTTGTTAGGGTAGGGCCTGCCTAGAGAGGTCAGTTTGCTCTGCAGCCTGTGATGGACGTTCTGACAGGGAACACTCAGCCCCTGCTGCAGCAGCTTTTCTGCTGCCTCTGTGTAAAATGAGAGCTGCCAGGAATGTTAGCACAGGGCAAGCAGAAATGTCAGAACAACGCTCTGTAGCAATACTGCTCATCCCTGTACTTCTGCTAGGATGTGGCTGGACACTGAGCCCCAGAGATGGTAAGAGCCCATTTTCCATGTTAAAAGGTTATTTATCAATTCAGTGTTGCTCCATTAAGGTGCATGCTTTCAATATTATGTGCAGAATGTGCTCAGTCCATAATTTTGATGTGACATCTGGTTGGGAAATTTGCCACTGAACTAACATTAAATGGTAAATGTGGCTGAAGGAATGGGCTGAGAGAATTGCTGGAAGCAATAGATGATTTCCTAGGAAAAACTACTGAGGACCATAACTAATGAGACAAAAGCTGCAGGTTGAAAAGCAGTGTGGACCATTCGTTCTTTACCATGGCAAATGTAAGCAAAAATTTCCAGGTCTAAGTGTGAGCACCTGTGAAGACACGCTGATGTCACAGGCTGGCCATGGAGGGGCTGTAATGGCCTTGCTGTCCCCTGCCCCTTCTGCTCCATTCAGAAATTAATTTCTGCAGATCTTAATGCAGCTGTGATTTACCCTCACTACAAGTCAAGGAAAGTGAATGCTCCTGTCCCAGGGGTAATTTTAATGTTACATTTGTTTCCTAAGGAGCTTTCCACAGACTGGTATTCTTGGAAGTCCTCAGAATGAGTTAACTGAACATGAGAGGCAAATAAACCCCATAATGTGGGATTAGAGGATGGGCAGCTTTCAAATGTGAACCACAGGTGCACATTACACACACTCCTCCTGTGTCCACAGCCAACAGCAGCAGAAAAGCTTGGAGTAGGAGATTCGGTCCAAGGAGATGACCCTTGGGATGCCCTTTCAATCCCCCACCAAAGGAGCTGAGGGGCTCCTGTTACAGAGCAGGTGAGTGGGAGGGGCAGGCTGGAAGATAGCTGGGGAGAAAAAGGTAATTGAAGCAGCAAGTAACTGTAAAATGAGGAAGGAAGGGGAATGAAAAGAAAGTAAGGAAGAAGCATAGTATTAACCCCTGCAGGAAACTGTATCATAATCTAAAATAGGCTGTGCTTGTGAGATCAAAGGTCCACGTAGCCAAACTTTCTGTCTTTGAAAGTGATGGCCAGGAAGGAGCATCCAGATAGAATGGCACTTCTCCCAGACTCTCCCAACTTCCAGTAATTTGTGTTTATGGAGTCCCTGGGCAGAATGCAATGTCTGGGTATTTAACAGCTCATGGTGAATTTTTAACTGCTGAATTTGTCCAAGCACTTTTTGAACCCATGAAGTGTTCTCTGAGTGCATGGAATGTTACTGTGATCCTCCACTGACTGAGACTAACCCAGAGAAAGCAAATATCCACATATGCAGTTCAATTCCCTTTGTTCTGATCTCTGACTGACTGTTACAAACTTACATGTTTTTTGCACTTCAGCCAAATTTGCATATGAAGCCACATATTTGAGGAAGTAAAAATAGCGATTGAACTGCAGAGAGATCTCCCAGGTGCCAAGGCAGACGGTGCTATAGTTAATCTGCAGGACATATTTATACTACAAGTAGAATATTTTCAAGGGAATTGTCTTTCCAACCACTAAGGCTCCTGTCACTTAAGAGACTCCACCACAGCTTCCCGTGTAACATCAGCAGATAGATTTCCTTGGTGGTCAGTCTAAACATCTCTGCTCTCTGCATCCATCCTAGATATCAAAGGGAGGATACAAATCCCTGCTCTTCCTAAAAAGCAAATCAGTTGTGTAAAGCAGAACAGCTCAAGCAGAAGACAATGACAATGACATTGTCATGACAACCCACAGCCAAGGTGCCAAGGAGTGGTGGCCCATGTGAGAGATCAGCAGCTGCAGATTCTAACAGTGCTTACATCTGTCCTGAGGAGACAAGTGCTTACATCTCCTGTCCTGTCCTACTCACCCTACTAAAGTCTACCTGGGACAGACCTTTCTCTCCATGGGCTTATCACAAACTACTTGGAAATATTTGAGTTTATCCCAAAACAGAAGTGAATGCCTTGTCCAAAGGAGAAGGGGACATTTTTTACATCTTCATCAGGACCATGGCCTGAGAAAACATATCCCAAATCTGCTGCAGCCAAAGATGCAGTGCCAACTTCACTTCATCACCATTAGCTGAGCAACACAGGCATTGCATTCCTCCAAAATCAGTTCCTCGGGTCCCTCAAAGTGCCCTTGCTCCCTGAGAAGTGCACTCTCAGAGTGCAAGGTCTCAGAGCAGAGCTGTGTCTTGACTGCACTGCAAAGACTGAGTTTCACCCGTTAGTGCCCTGATGTGTGTATGGTGTCCTCAGTCCTATCTGTGTAAAAACTCTGAATTCAAGAGAACTAATACATGTAGAACTGGGAAAAAAAAATGAAGGACCTCTGTGTATGCCCTTTTCCTGGTTCTATGGCAGGTTCATTGGTAAATTCATGGTGAATTCAACTGTTGAGTTTACTTCCTCAACCTCTTTGTCAAGAAGTTTGTTTTTTTTTAATACAGAATATTTTCAAAATACTGTATAACTGGAATGGTCAGCTCAGGAGATGCAGATGCCCCTCTAGCGCAGGAGTTCGCAGGTCTGAGACGTGTGTTCTGTTGGAACACAGGCACTGCATCTATTTTAAACTTTCTCTCTGAGATAGTCCTTTATGGCCACTTTGGAGCTGTGTTTCCCCTGGAGTCAGTCAGCACTCAGCAGCTGCCAGGCAGCCCAACCCTGCAGACAGTGTCAATGCCAGAGGTTGTCATCCTCTAGGTATGGCAATAGGTATCCCAGAGGAAGGAATGTTTGCTTTCCCTCCCCTGGGGATGCTATTTGGATCTCAGAAATTTATCATAATTTATGGCCTCCCCAGGTGAATATTACTGTTAGTTCAGCATGAAAGAAAACCTGATATTGCTGGTTTTTCTCTATGTTCTAGCTACTTGTGATATGTCTGAAGCTGGCATATCACTAGAGTTCATATTGTACCATTAGAGGGGTTTTTTTACCAGTTAAAGAATTCTGAAAAAAAAGTATCATAATAGGCCAATAAAAACAACAAAGTTCTCTTTTTAAAAGGGCGTTTACAGTGTTTCTTAAATTAAAGGCACATTATTTATTTATCAATTTGGAAAAATCAATTTTTAATATCCCTTAAAATGTATTCCCCAAACTAATGTGATGTTCAGGCAAATAAACAGAACTCTAAAATGAGAACTCTTTACAACTGGAAAAGAAGCTTTTAATAGATAAAAGCCATATTTAAGATATTAGAAATTAATATTTCTAGGAAGCAAGAGACGGATTCTTCATCAGAAATTGTAGTGATAGGACAAGGGGGAATGGCTTCAAACTGACAGAGTAGGTTTAGATTGGATATTAAAAAGAAATTCTTGCCTGTGAGAGTGGTGAGACCCTGGCACAGATTGCCCAGACAAGCTTGGACAGGGCTTGGAGCAACTTGGCCTAGTGGAAGGTGTCCCTGCCCATGGCAGGGGGTGAAACTGGATGATCTTTAAGGTCCCTTCCAAACCAAACCACTGTGGAATTCTATGATTTTATATTAACATGCCTACACAATTTTGGGCATTATGAGGCAAAACCTTCTCAGATATTATAGCAGGATCAGTAATTGACTATGAAATGTAAACATAAAAATAGATATGATGCTCATCACAGTTTCAGTTGCAAGAAAGTTATTGAATTTTTCTATAGAAGATCATATGATACCATCCATATCTACACAGTCCTTGAGAGGTGCTTGTCTAGAACAGATCCTTAGAAGCACAGATTAAAGGAGATTCTGCAATATTATAGATACTCTGTTTTACCATACAGTTTTCCTCACTCAAATATTTCCTTAATATTAACTCCAAGACCATTTAACTTCAAATTAAGCAGTTATGGTGCTGGTAATAGAACCCTCCATGTATCTTAATGAAACTTATTTTCACTTGAAAAGATTTTTTCGTACTTCCACACCCAGACTTTACTTTGCTCATCTCTTGACTTATAAAAATAATTTCTATCCATACCTTTTTCTAAGTCATATTCTTCATACTTGTCATTTTGGCTTCTCTTCTCCTTATTCTTCCTTACAAGAATATTTTCCTTTTTTCAGAAGAGAGCTACAAAGTGTGCTCCATTCAAAATACTTTAGGCTATATTTAAGATAACCCACTGCCTAAAAGGAGCAAACATTAAGCAGCAGTGCACCACATAAAGAATACTTGTACTAATATTGGCAATACTTAGATTCGATTACTATAATGAATTGAATAACTAAGTAACTTTCACAAGTGCTTGACATTGTTAAGTGTGTAAAAACTCGTGACCCCAATTGCTTTTCTCCCTGGCTCAAGGGACAAACCACATGCATTTCTGTCTGATTTCATCCTCCCAAAGTACTTTAATTATCTTCATTAAATTTCCCACTGAAAATTATAAATATTTTTTCCAATTTTCCAGATCTGCCTTTAAGTTTGATCCCATTCCATCCTGCTAAAATGCTTGGAAGCCCCTTTTCCCAAGAAACACAGCAGCACTGTTTGCTTCTGTCACCTCAGGGTCTTTTCTTCCAGCATCGGTGAGTGGAACATTCCCAGATGTTCTTTGACCCATCCCACCTGACTTTGTTCTGTCCCAGTGGGGAGCAGATGAAACCGGCCGAGCGCCCTGGTTGCCTTTGAACCCTTGTGCTGTGATTTGCTCCCAGTCCGTGGGCCCGGCAGTTGCAGCAGGTTTAAAGCCCCCGGCTGAGTGAGGCCGAGCGGCTGCTGTGCAGAGGAGCAGCTGCCCAGAGGAGGGTCCCGTGATGGCTCCAGGCTGCCATCGCCTGGCAGTGGGGCCTGGAGCCGAGGGGGAGATCGGGGCTGCCCCGCTGAGCTCCCTGGGACTGACAGGGGCCGGGTGGGGCCGGGAGAGGCTCCCCCCGGCAATAATTCCATCGTCTTTCTGCCAAGGATCCCTGAAGGAACTTGTCTGTCTTTCCGTGTCGGGTGACAAGGCCCAGGCTGAGGATAAAGCTGATGGGGCCGAGGCCGTCAGAGCAGCAGCGCCAGGGCTGAGGCGACAGGCACAGCCCGGGCCCAGCTGATGGCCCCGGTCTGGGTGTGCTCTGTCCGGTGGCCCCGGGGCCGGAGCCGGCAGGGACGGGCTTTCCGGAGCTCTGCAGAGGGCCCGGGCAGTCGGGCTGCAGGTGGGGCTGGGTCTCCATGAGCACTGTGTCACGGCCACCAGCCTGGCCAGGGCTCCTCCTTCAGCCCAGATACTGCCGTGGCCCTTGAGGGATCTCTCGGCTTCGGCCCTACAGCCTTCGCTCAGCGAGTGCTGGGAAAGCACAGCTTGAGCAAAGGGATATGGCCCCTGCAGCGCTGCCGAACCTGGGAGCAAGCCCTGCCTCTGCCTTCTTCCTTCTTCCTCACCCAGACTGGGACTCCAGGGTGGAGGCTGGAAAATGCTGCATTTTCAGAGCTACAGCCCAGCCCACCTTTTCCATGGGTAGGTTTACAAGAGGGGGGATGCCCCCTCGACCCCAGTGAGCCCCAGCTGACTGCTGGAAGTACCTGGGCAGCTGCTGTGTTCCCTGTGGGACAGCACATCCCAGGAGATAGGGGAGAGCACCCAGGTACTGGGTTGGCAGGGCTCCAAAGGGGCCACTCTGGATTCAGACTCTGAGCAGGGAGAGCACGCTCGGGCCGCAGTCTGACGTTTAACCTTTCAGCTGGGAATGGAGCTGTGCTGGAGCAAGTCTCCCTGGGGTAAGAATAGCATCTGCTGTCTTGGGACACAGCACAGTTGTCCAGCTCCTCCACGGCAGCACATGGCACTGAGACACAGAAGGCAGCCTACCCTCCCAGGAATGTCTCAGGCACTATTAGTGGAAGTGAATCATGCCCACAGACAGGCACGACCCTGAACAGGAGTCTTAGGAGAGCAGGGCTATTTTGGGCCTTTGTCAGTGCAGAGGAAAGGAGACACATGATGTCTTCACGTAGCTGCCTGTTTCATTTTCAGCCACATGCGTGAGAGCTGGAGAGATAGCAGAGAGCATGTAACTGTGTGCAAGTGAAAGGGGCAGGAGGCTGGAGGAAGAAACAGTCTAAAGAAAGCTGTGGTAAGTCAGAACAGACACAGTTATAGCCCTTGATGTGAGAGCTGCTTCTTCAGTGACTTGACTGCCTTTTCACACCGGTGCCCTCTGAGACAGCGCTTTTGGACACGTCATCAAAGAAACTCTCCAGGTGTTCCACTTGCCAGTAGGGCCAGGGCTCACTCCTCTCTTCCCTCTGCCTGGCTTTGCTGGCTGCATTCCTTCATTCTGGTGACACATCCTCAAGCTTCCTCGGTGCAGGCAATGGGAGGCAAAGGATGGTGCAGGGTCTGTAGAGCAGGCAGACTTTCAGAGAGTCTCAGAAGTTAACGCTTGCACCAGCCATTCCAGCTAACAGGGATACTCATGGATGTTGTGTGCCATCTAGACTCTACCCAGCCCCCCCTGAAGCTTTGGAGATGCCTGCAGGTGGGACTGCCACCCAAGAGGAGCAGTCAGCTCACAGGTGGGCTTGGGCAGGCAAAGGCTAAGGCCAAGAGGCCCTGCCTGTGGTGGCAGGTCAATGCATGCTGTGAGACATTGTCAGAGAGGACTAGTCTGGCCAGGTGTTAGGTGGCTTTCTTAAGGTCTTTGTGATTGAAGGCTGAGGTTTGCCCCTAAACAACCACCTCCCATTGCTCTCTGCTGAGATACAGCACTGACAGCACTGACAGAAGTTCTGCTCACCAATGCTCACAAGGGACAGTAATGGGAGGAAGGAATGGAGGGCTGCACCCATCTGTTTTCTTCTTTTCTCTTGTCTGAGACAGTGCCATGTGCAGCCTGTTGTGCAGGAGGTGCCAAGGCTGACCTCTGAGGTGATCGTTGAGGAGGTGTGTTGGTGCATGTGCTGTGCGAGAGGTGGGTACTAAGGGAGAGTCCTTCCAGCACGGGGCCCCAGGCGGGGCTCTGCTGTTTGCCCACCAAGAGGAAACTGGGAGCAGGTGGTGGCAGCAGCTGAGGGGATCCAGGGTAAGGGAGATGGCACAATGTAGAGACAGTGTCAGTACGCAGTGACTAAAATTGTCTCTTTCAAGGGACTGTTGGTCCTTGACGGTGCAGTGCACTGTAACCTCTGATTACGTAGGGGTAGGTGTTTAGGGTTTGTGAGTGGCAGCATCAGAAACATGGGCAGGGAAAGGAAAAAGGACAGGGGATCACCCTCTCTTGCCTCTCCCATGGGAAGGAACTTGTGCTGAAAGGACGATGGGAGAAGCATTAGGAGCACGTGAAGGCAGGAGTAGGACAAGGAGCTGCTGGAGACAAAAGAGAGCGCAGGCTGGATTTTCAGGAGTCTCCACAGGAATGGCCAGATTCTAAGTTTGCAGGTCCTCAGTCCAACATTTGCATCAGCTCCCCTTTCCTAACCAGGAAAAAGTAAGGAGTCTTCTTCTCCAATGCAATATCCCGAGTATGGTGAGAAAACCAAACCCAAAGAAGGCAACTGGTCATGCTGTGTTTGCAGAGGAATCTACTCTTTATTCACTAGACACTGAGGTGGGTACATTGCAGAAGGAAGTGACAAAGGGTTCACATTTTGTGCAGCCCGCAGGTCACTTTGTACCTCATGACAATCTCACTCTTCCTCTTCTATCCTCCTATGAAACTCCCGACTCTTGGCTCGGAGCTTGTTGACCTGGGACTCTGCAATGTCAGCCCGTTCCTCAGCTTCCTCCAGCTCGTGCTGGATCTTGCGGAACTTGGAGAGGTTGACATTGGAGAGCTGCTCCTGGGAGAGAGAAGAAGTTGGTGGTGAAGAGCCCAGGGCAGGGGTGTCACTGCTCCTGTGCCTTGGCCTGGGAGAGGGCACAAATTTCCATCCACCACCCACCACAGCTTATCCGTGAGTCTCAGTGAGATCCTTGAAACCTCCTCAGTGCCCCTCTCACAGACCCCCCTCACTGAGTCCAGAAGCCTTTGTCTGGGCTGGGCTGTTTGCCACAGTGAAGAAGCCACGCTCAGCCAATCCTAAATTCAGGGACTGCAGGATTCCCTCAGTTCCTCCCTGAGTGCTGCACGCCCAGAAACAGGCAAAGGGTCCCTGCACAATTCTAAGAGCTGAATGCAAAGTGGCTTGGGAGGATACTTCCAACACCTTCTCTGTCTGCTATCAAAAATTTGAAACTAAGTTATTTTCAAAACTTCTTAATGTACTGTACTATCCTTACCATTAATAAGACTGCTTCTTACAGGCTGCTTTGTTGTCCTGATGCAAAAAATGCTGTGTGCATTTGCCCTCTTATTAGTCTTGTTAGTGACTCATTGATTTCATTCTCCAAGGCGAGGCTAATTTAGGAGCCTTTCAGAGAACTTGAAGAACTCCATTATTGACCAGTGACACCTTCCAGCTTTCTTCTATTGGGCCAAGCTTCCTCAGTGGCCAAGCTGCCCTCTTGGAAAGTGTTTCTTGCCAAGCACTCAGAGTGATACTTACAGCCTCCTCAGATTGTCTCTTGTAGGATTTCACCTTCATTTGCAGCTTGTCCACCAGATCCTGTAGCCTGAGAATATTCTTCCGGTCTTCCTCAGACTAAAGCAGTTGGCAAACAGGAAGGAGTGTGAATTGTTTCCCCCACTATGGCAGGTAGCAATTCCCCTTGGCAATCAGGTGCAAACACTTTCAGTTTTTGCAGATGCCCACAGGGGCCATTACCTGGTAGGTGAGTTCCTTCACCCTCCTCTCGTACTTGCGCACACCCTTCACGGCTTCAGCGCTGCGCTTCTGCTCAGCATCAACCTCCCCTTCCAGCTCCCGCACCTGCAATGAGAAGCCCGTCCCTGCAGCTTCCCTGGGGGTGTCTCTCCAAGAGATGGGGTCACTCATGCACCAACACAGCCCTACTCACCCTGGCCTCCAGCTTCTGCAGTTGTTTCTTGCCTCCCTTCAGGGCCAACTGCTCGGCCTCTTCCAGACGGTGCTGCAGGTCCTTCACCGTCT